CCCCCCCCCCTTCCTCCTCCTCCTCCTCCTCCTCCCTCCGCCCTTGCCGGGGGACGGGCTTGGGGGAGGCCCCGCCCTGCGCTCGGCAAACCCGCCCTGGCTGGGCCGCGCGGAGCGGCGGGCAAGGGAGCGAATGGGAGTCTGCGAACATCCCAGGAGGGGCCTTGCAATAGCGCCGCCCCCCTCCCCAGCCCCAGCTCGGGTTCCTTGGGTTTGGGGGCGCGACTTCCCAGGCTTTCAGTGAAGCCAGCCGATTGCTGTGAACGAGGTGCCGGGTGGCCCAAGGGATCCACGCTCCCAGATCCCCTGCTCCTGGACGGGCTGGGGACAGGGGCGCCGTGCGCCCTGGGCGCGATCCAGCGCGGGGAACCGTAGCTGGGCGGGAGGATGCGCCCTGGGCGACCGCCTAGGGTTTGAAAAGGTAGCGGGAGTTAAGGAGGGAGGAGGGGAGCCTCTGCAGGTGGAATCGCGAAGGACCTGGGAAGTCGAAGCGAAAAGGGTGGACGGCGTCCGGGGCTTTGGAGGGCAACTTGCCGAGATCCCGGGCGTGGCTAGATCACTCACCCCAATAGGTCTGCCTAGCGGCCACCACCCCGGGGGCCGGGGTGGTGGGGATTCTCCAGAGACGCGGGTCGGCCCTGCCTTGGAAGCTTCGCGAGGTTTCTCCGGCGGCGCTGATGGGATTCCCAGAAGCCCCAGAACACATCGGTAGTGTCGGTCCGTTTCCGCCCCACCAGGCCGGGAACGCCTTGCTGGTGGGGGGCACTTGGGTTCAGGCGTTCCTTGAGGGAATTCCTAGTGGGAACCTACTGTGTGCCCAGCGCCGAGATGGGGTCCCAACCCGGAAACTTACAACCCGGAACTGTCCCCCTCGGAGCGCGCAGGCCAGCGAGATTCATTATGGTGTCATTACCTTCTTCCCAGTGCCCTAGAAACGCTCGATGCATACAGAAGTTGCTGAATAAATGTGTTGAATAAATTGAGTGCTAAAATAGATATAACTGTACTTTGTAAGCCTTGCCATTTGCCCTAGCGTGTTAGTGATACTATCCAAATTATTTAAACATAGTTTTTCTTCCTTTCCTCTTCCTTACCATTTGTAAAACACTACAGCGGTTAAGAACACTGACTTAAATCATTTGGCCCCAGTTCACTTCCGGCCTCTGCTATTTCTCTGCTGTGTGACCTTGGGCAAATTACTTCCCCTCTCTGTGCTTCCATTTCCTCCTCTAAAACAGACAATACTTGGCTTCAGGAGGAAATAAACTGCAGCACCCAAGGAGAGTTACCGAATTGGTGCTGGTGTTATTTTTATTATTACGATTATTATTGTTGTTGTTGTTATATAAAAAGGAAACAGTTCCAGAAGTGAGCATATGGGTTACCCCAAATATGACAATGGTAAACCTAGAAACTGGAGGTGTGTGCTGTTCCCTTCAGAAACAATGAACTTACAGATTTTACTTTTGTGTAACTTGCTTTTGCATTTTCTACCATGTAATTATACCTGCAGTCTTCATGAACTGGGAGCCTAGCACCATGTTTCACATTTCCAGTACTGCCCACGGAGAACAGATGTACTAAACCCCACTGCACACCCCTAGGGTGACCTCCCATCTTTTTTATACAAAACTAAATAGGTTCAGGGAGAAGTGTTTTCTGTCTAGGCCATGTAACAGGAAGTGGGACCTGATCCAAGCTGGGTGACACATATTTCTGTCACAGTCACTAGCTCCTGAGACTCAGAACTTGGGGATTGACTGGCTCAGATTTAGCAGACTTAAGGTATTGGGGAAAGGAGGGAATGTACCAAGTTTATTCATTCACAGGAAATCTTGGAGCAGTGGGTGCCATAGCACCCTGGTCGCTGCCTCTACCCACAGTCCCACAGCTCACAATCTATTGTGACACAGTGTGTAAAGAATACACAGGAGACACAGTGTGTAAAGAAGTAAGAGTCACTGAGCCTTAGTTCCCTATCTCCCACTCCCCTGAAGGAAGTCCCCACCTCTAGAAAGGTACCTGGCATTTAGCAAGTCCTGAAGAGAAGTTTGCTGAACTAAGAGACAATATCCACCCTCCCCCATGCACCCCTGATCTCTGGAGGAGAGGCTCTTGAAACCATGCCTCTTGAAACAAGTCTGGCTGCCTCTGAAGAAAGCTAACAAAAGGCCAGCCCCCAACCTAGCCCTGCCTGGCAAACCCCAGGAGATCAAATGTCCAAGATCAGCACAGGGTCAGATGTGGGCCCACATGGAAAGTTTGTCCTTTGGGATGACACACCCCTTCCCTTTGAGAATCAGATACAAGTCCTATGTTCCAGGTTAAGAACCAAGATGGCAATGAGTTGTCCCACGCATACCCAGGTAGGTCGGGGACTAAACCCCGGTACTGTCACTAATACTGTGTGAAATCACCAGATGAACCTGGGACAAGTTACTTCTCCAACTTCTCCATTTGCTTCATTTGTTGAGCAAAATCAACAAAATCCAAACCATCCCCCAAAATGTTCAGATCTATGAAAAAGCAGAATAGATATGATAGTAAGGACATAAATACCACTTTGAGTCAGACCTCAGCGTGTTACTCTACTTGCTTTATCATACATCTGTTCATCTAGCTACCGATCAAACTAATCTTAATTTTTGACAGGTTGCAGAATATGTTTGCCCCCCTCCCACCACCCCCAGCCATCATTAACCAGACAACCCTAACTAACTCCCCACTCCAATAAAGGTCCTGACAATGGAAAACAGTCCTCCCAGTCAGGCCAGGCACCAGTTCTTCTTTAAACTTTGACTCCTGCCACTAAACACCCCCCCACCCCCCTCCCTTTTTGGTAAGAGAAACTAGACTCAGAGGTGTGATAAAAGAAACCAAATCAACATCCCATAGCTGGAGACTCAAAACCAGTTCTTTCTGTCCACAGAATTCAAACTCTGTGGAGGGCATGGCTCTCATAGATCTCCTGAGAGGACTGGGCAGGTGGCAGACACATCACAAACATTTGCTAGAGGAATAAAGGACTCCCAAAAAATCTGCTGTGAGGCAAATGGTTCTCCCATTGTCTCCTGCAAACAGTCAGCGTCAGCGGCACCAAGTGTATCCCTAGACTCTGGACCCAAGATAATTATAAAAACTCCTGGGCCCCAACACGAACTTGGATTTCTGGACCCCATTATCTCAAAGTTAAATAGACTGTTTGAATTTTAATCGAGCGGTTGTAAAGGAACAGCAAGAAGCTTTCTGTTGACTGCGGAAGGGTCCAGTACATTAGAGAACTAACCTGTCCTTGAACTGACGCCTTTTCTGCACCCAGCCCGGGGGACCAAGTCCCCCATCCCGCCCCTAGTGCGAAGAGCTCCTCCTCCCTAGAACCACTGTGTTTTCTGGCTGACATGTCTACCCCTTCCCCAGTTCGCCCTGCACCTCCTATCGGCAGAGCAGCACCAGCTCCTACTCCGACCAACTGCTGTCACTCCTGGCAGAGGAGTGGCTTCCTTTTCATTTTTAAAATAAATGGTGTGTGCCTCTGCACGTTGAAGTAGTGGCCATCGCAGCTCCTCTTCGCACTGGCAGCTTCAGGGTTGAAAACTGACAACCAACTGGCTTCTTGACCTGGGAGGACGTTGGTGCCACGGGTGTTTTTAGTTTTCGGTGGTGACACACACTCCCGATCCGTGCCACTTTCTGTGTGTGGCATATAAGCAGCCGGGGAAACTAAAAAGAAAAAGAAAGCCTTGCCCAATCCTAAAACATCCACGCGGCCTTCTAGGTTTCCTTCCGCTGGACTGGAAGGGAGTGAGTTTCCATTTAAGACCTTTCAAGGACCTGGGTTTTAGCTTCCAGGCACTGGGCGCACCGGGGGATCAGAGGGCACTAACTGCGGGGCGACACCCGTTCTCGCGCCGCGCGCTTTATATAGGGCTCGCACAGCCGGCGTACACTGCCCCAGTTCCCCGCCTGGCTCGCAATCCCACAGCGCGGAGACCGCCTGCAGAGACGAAAACAGGCAGCTGCGAGCCCAGCCCGACCTCGGGTCCTCCGCGCGGCAAGTGCGGAGGGCGGGGCCTGACAGCCCATTGGCTGTGGAATGAGGGCGTGGTCAGAGCTCCGTTCCGCCCCCAACCCCCGCCCGGTTAAATAGACCGGGCGCCGGCCTGGGGAATTATTCATCGAGGGGCGGGCCTGTGTTTGTTTACACGCCGCCATTGGCTGGATTTGAATCGGTCCGACTGCGGGCCGGCTGCGGGGCGGAGCTCCAGCGGGCCCTGGTCCGCGCCTGACAGCTTCGCCCAGGTTTCTTCCAAGCTGTCCGCGCGGGAGGAGCCCCGGGACGTGGGACACTAAGGGACTGGAGTAACCTCGGCCGATGCGAGCAAGTAGAGCCCTCCGCCTGCTTCTTAATGAATTCTCCCCAGGGGATGGGGAAAGTTGGCTTTTGATTACCTAAAAATACGTGAAAATAAAACAAACCCGGAAACAACCTAACTGCCCATCGATGGGGGACCCATTTTGTAAGAGGTGATCCCACGCGCTACGATACACGAAATGAGCATAAAATGAGAAGCAATGAGTGGACTGGCATGCACTGTCATATGCTTCTCAGTCAAGGGGGAAAGCTCGGAAGGAAGAAAAGTGTATAATAATTAAAAGAGAGGGGGGTGTAAAAAAATACAAACTTTTGCTCATTAAATGCACAG